CGCACGCGCACGCGCACGCGCACGCGCACGCACACGCACACGCACACGCACACGCACACGCACGCACACGCACACGCACACGCACACGCACACGCACACGCACACGCACACATACACAAAGACTCAAAGACTCAAAGGGCACTTGAAAAATAATCTGAGATCCGGGTGTGCTGTTCCATTTGAGTCGGGTTGCAACCACCTCTTTTTGGCAACAAGGCTTAATTCCCATCCTGACCTCAACCAACCTTGCTTTTCTCAGGTTAACTTCAATTCCAATCTTAGCAGGTACCGGGAATTAACGCGGGAAACACGCTTGAGGTGACCCACTACGACGTCTATGTGGCGGCGGACAGCTCCGGCACCTCGCGCTCGGCGGTTTGGGGGCCCAAGAGAAGCCGGCTTTTGGCGCTTGGCTCGTTGCAACGGGATTCCAGACAATCTGGTGAGATACAGTCACGCATTTGGTTGCATGTTTTGCGAAACAGACTTCATTTGCGGGTAGAGTAATCTGCTGAAAAGTTGTCAAAACTTTGTGCTTCTTAGACTCCAGCCGTATTGGAAGAATGCCTGGCACCCCTAAAAGAGACTCCGGTTTCCTCTTGAACATATTCAAACGGACCGGATCACAGCAGAAGCAGCACCCTCGCACCCTCTCTGTTTGTGGTGATTTTTGGACAGCCAGATCATGCCCTCGAAATAAAGGTACTTGGAGTGGGGCATATATGTCCCCTGAAACCTATATCCAGGCCTCCAAACCCTGGTTCGATGGATTTGGGAAACCAACGTTTGTTTTGGATGCATGAACATCCTCCCATGTCTGTAGAAGGGGCAATCAAGACCAACCGCTTGGATTGTTGCCGGAGGAGAAAGTCGCAAGCAGAAAGCACCCGCGGCAACATCTCCAAGCCAATCAAAGCGAAACAAAGAGGTTTCTCTCCCAAGACTTGGGAAGTAAGTAAACCCCCTGCTTCGGTATCCGTTTGTTGGAGTCCCCCTTGGACGAAGGCTGAACTTGGTTGGACCTTGCGTTTTGCTGGTTATTATGCAGGGTTAGCGCCTCCGCAAAAAGGCATCTTCATTCTGTCATGTTCTCATTCAAGAAACAAGTTTTGTGTGCTTGAGGCAGATTTTGATTTTGTCAACTGAAATGATCGAATGCATGTTTATCTGGAGTCTCCATTGCAGCCGCACGCATGCAGAGTGAAGACTCAACTATGGGTACCCATTGACGTCAGCTTCGGAGTTGTTCGGAACGGTACAAATCAGAAACGGATCAACATATTGGATCAGCGGATGGGCGAGGTAGCGCGAATGCCCGCGATTTTCATCAAAGCTCACGCCGGGATGGTGCATTAAAAGGTAACAGCCATAATGTTTGCAGTTTTGGCTCTTAGGAACTTGTTGAAAGGTGGCCTTCCCAAACAGGTCCCTGATACCTCTAGATGGAAGAATAGTTGCAACCCACATCGTTGGAAGTCACCCTTGCTTGGCAACCAGAATCGTCACCGTTTCCTTTACTCTTGCCCAACGCAATTTTGACCTGTTGGTTTCCCATCCACCCAGCCTTTTCTGTCCAGGCCCTGTGGAGTGGGTGTCTCCAATGTTGATGTGGTCGTTGCCTTTGGGAAGGATTTGGCGGTTTTGGACCCAACACACAGGGCTTTCGACCGATTTGCGATGAAGGTTCTCAACTTGAGAGCACATTTCAGGTGTGTGGCATGTAATAGTTTGCCCAGAACATTCACAGTTGTTTGAACAAGTCATTGGACTCCTCTGGCATGGTTGTAGGAAATGGAAACATCTTGGGATTGTTGGGCTCTGCAATTCTTGAGGAACATTCTGCACGTGCCGCTTGTATATGGGAGATAACTTAAGTTCAATCATTGATCATAGCCTAAACCAATCGCAGGCCCCTTTAGCGCTGCCTCCCTCCTTTGTGGATTGTCTTGAAGGTTCAACAAAGAGAGCTAGACCGTATTACAGCGAAGTCATCGCGAATTTTTTTCTTCGAACTTTGGCCCTCCTGTTCAGGGTTGTGGGAATGGCCTTCCAAATGACTTGTCATTTTAAGGGGAGGTTCCCTGGCTTGCCCCTAAAGGCTATGTCATACTTGGTCTTTTCCCACAACCGCAACATGCAAACCAAGCCTGCGAGGTGAGCCTTGGAGTAGCGGTGGGCACCAATCAGGCCCAGGTGGTCGAGAACACGGCCCTGGGCTCGTGTGCTTCTGAGCTTGGTTGGCTACCACTTAGGACTTGGCTAGTCGGAACCCTTCACTTTGGGGTTGTTGAGGGCGGGCTTCTATGCTCCGCCAAGGTTTCTTAGAACCAACCCCCCCCCCCCCGGCCGGGCCAAAAGTATATTTTTGTATGGGTGGCAGCCCAGCCCAAGGCTGGAATGGCTCGACCTTTGCCACCCTTGATCAATTGATCAAGTCTGATATCTTCCATAGTAGGCGTCTTTTTCCCGGAAGCATTGCGAAGGGTTCTTCTTCTAAAAGCGGCTGCCAACTTCACCTGCCAACTTCTCATGCCAACTTGTCGAGAGTTACTTCACCTGCCAACTTCTCATGCCAACTTGTCGAGAGTTACTTCACCTGCCAACTTCTCATGCCAACTTGTCGAGAGTTACTTCACCTGCCTACTTCTCATGTCAACTTTTTGAGAGTTACTTCACCTGCCAACTTCTCATGTCAACTTTTCGGCTGTTATCTCATTCTACTAAAAGCACAAGCTAATTTGTCGGGTGTTACTTCACTATCCTAAAAACACAAGCTAACTTTTCTGTTCTACCTTCACATCTCGACTCTTAATTCTTCTTCTTTTTATGGCGGGGGTAGGCCCGACGGGAGCTTACGAAACGCACCCCTCTGCGGAGATCGTGCGTGTCGAAGCGCTCTCGCTGTGGCGCCGTGCGAATTTGTCTTGAGCCGGCGAACCCTCTGCGGAGATCGTGCGTGTCGAAGCGCTCTCGCTGTGGCGCCGTGCGAATTTGTCTTGACCGGCGAACCCTCTGCGGAGATCGTGCGTGTCGAAGCGCTCTCGCTGTGGCGCCGTGCGAATTTGTCTTGACCTTGGCGAACCCTCTGCGGAGATCGTGCGTGTCGAAGCGCTCTCGCTGTGGCGCCGTGCGAATTTGTCTTGACCTTGGCGAACCCTCTGCGGAGATCGTGCGTGTCGAAGCGCTCTCGCTGTGGCGCCGTGCGAATTTGTCTTGACCTTGGCGAACCCTCTGCGGAGATCGTGCGTGTCGAAGCGCTCTCGCTGTGGCGCCGTGCGAATTTGTCTTGACCTTGGCGAACCCTCTGCGGAGATCGTGCGTGTCGAAGCGCTCTCGCTGTGGCGCCGTGCGAATTTGTCTTGACCTTGGCGAACCCTCTGCGGAGATCGTGCGTGTCGAAGCGCTCTCGCTGTGGCGCCGTGCGAATTTGTCTTGACCTTGGCGAACCCTCTGCGGAGATCGTGCGTGTCGAAGCGCTCTCGCTGTGGCGCCGTGCGAATTTGTCTTGACCTTGGCGAACCCTCTGCGGAGATCGTGCGTGTCGAAGCGCTCTCGCTGTGGCGCCGTGCGAATTTGTCTTGCGCCCTCTGCCGCGTGTCGATCGCGCTGTGGCGCCGTGCGATTTTCTTGCTCGCGAAACGGCTTTTGGAAGTTGTCTCGTGGTGCGCGCGCCTGCTTTCGCAATCCCGCGGTCCCGGGTTCGATTCCCCCCTGGTCCGCGGCAGCTCCGGCTTGAAAATCGCAGCTTTTAAGTACAAACGTAGTACGCGGAGCGTGCTCCTGCAGCTCCGGCTGGAAAATCGCAACTTTTAAGTACAGACGTAGTACGCGGAGGCTGCTGCAGCTCCGGCTGGAAAATCGCACTTTTTAAGTACAGACGTAGTACGCGGAGCGTGCTCCCGCAGCTCCGGCTGGAAAATCGCAACTTTTAGATACAAATGGCTGGAAAATCGCAACTGTAAATTGCAAATGTAGCACGCGGAGCGCCTCCGCCGCTCCAGCTTTTTGAGGGTTAATTACTTCACCTGCCAGTTTCTCATGCCGAAACTTCGAGAATTACTTCACCTGCCAGCTTCTCATGCCACCTTTTCGAGAGTTACTTCACCTGCCAACTTCTCGTGCCAACTTTTCGAGGAGTTACTTCACCTGCGAGCTTATCATGCCAACTTTTCGAGAGTTACTACACCTGCGAGCTTCTCATGCCAACTTTTCGAGAATTACTTTACCTGCCAACTTCTCATGCCAACTTTTCGAGAAATACTTTACCTGCCAACCTCTCGTGGCAACTTCACCTGCCAACTTTTCGAGAATTACTTCACCTGCCAACTTCTCATGCCAACTTTTCGAGAAATACTTTATCTGCCAACCTCTCGTGGCAACTTTTCGAAAAATTACTTCACCTGCCAGCTTCTCATGCCAACTTTTCGAGAGGTACTTCACCTGCCAACATCGCCTGCCAACTTTTCGAGAGTTACTTCGCCTGCCAACTTCTCGCGCCAACTTTTCGAGAATTACTTCGCCTGCCAACTTCTCATGCTAACTTTTCGAAAGTTACTTCACCTGCCGGCTTCTCACGCCAACTTTTCGAGAGTTACTTCACGCGCCATCTTCTCGTGCCAACTTTTCGAGAATTACTTCACCTGCCAGCTTCTCACGCCAACTTTTCGAGAGTTACTTCACCTGCCAACTTCTCATGCCAACTCTTTGAGAGTTATTTCACCTGCCAACTTCTCATGCCAACTTTTCTCTTGAGTTACTTCGCCTGCCAACTTCTCATGTCAACTTTGCGAGAATTACTTCACCCGCCAACTTTGCCAGCCAACTATTCGAGAGTTACTTAACCTGCCAGCTTCTCATGCCAACTTTTTGAGAATTGCTTTGCCTGCCAACTCCTCATGCTAACTTTGCGAGAGTTACCTCACCTGCATCAACTTGCCTCTATGCTTCCGGGCCACTCGTCGTCTAGTTTTGTTTGGGACCCTTGAGTGGTTGCTGTGGGTTCTCCTTTTGAAGGTACACTTACACCGGCAAAACGGTTGGCTTCATGCTGATTCCCTTTTGAAGCTGTTCGCTATTTGGTTTGACAAGCCCCGCATAAGGCTGAAGCCAAGCAGCCAGTGACAGCAAATGTCACCGAATGTTTGCCATGCTTTCTACCTAGAAATTCACACGTCCGGATGCACCCTCAGGGGACAAACAAAGCACAGGGCAACCCCTGTGCTGTCCTTGTTTGGTACTCTCGCACCCACATTGCCATGGAACCCGCCAGAGGGTCCCTGGCTTGGCGGCTTTGGAATGGCTCTGTGAGTAACGATCAAGATGTACCGTCATCTACTTTTAGTGAAGATAATGGCATGGGCCACACACCCACCTTACCATTAGTAAGTGGAGGTTACCACAATCTCAACATCACTTGGGGACACACAGCCGCAATGTGAGCATTCATTCAGATGTTGGAGAATCAGAAAGTGGGACCAGTGGGACGGGGCCCTACTAAGTAAGGTTCTGGTAGGGGTCCGTTTTTGTTCCAGGAGGAGAATTTTCAGGAATAGCATTGCAGCTAATGCCTTTTGACCCTTCAAAACCACACTGCCAAGACAGGGTGGGGCTGAGCTTTTAGGCAGGTCGGGGTGAGTCTTCCTTGGAAGCTCCCTTCTGAATGCCAGGCACCTGACGACTGGTTGCCATCCTCCAAAAGGGTTTGCAAGAGCATATCCAGCAAGATCGTTTCTCTGGGCACGCCAACTAACAAACCCTGGAGTACATACTGGCATCTCTGTAACTTTGGCCTTTGCACTCGGGGTTTCGAATGACACCCGGATGCGAGGTACACGCACCTCCTGGTTTACACAGCCAACGCCAATGGTGAGCAGGCCATGCAGGGTGTACCTTTTGACCATGTGTGCCAGTCTGCCTTTGGACCCATCTTTGGATCAAACAAGGTGAAAAGTGTACGCGCTTGCTCCAAACCTCAGAACAATGAGCAACAAGGGTAGAACATTAGCATTGTTTCCTCTTGTTCCCCCTTTTCCAGGGGTCTCCTTACTAACCTTGCTAAAGCTGCATTTGGAGTTTTACTGGTAGCCCTTGACTTCCCCAAAAGACGGGGATCAACAGGTAAGCCCCGACCCGGCCTGGTCGGGAGAGCCCGGTTGGGGCGGAGTTTCCCCTTCAAGGGGTGGTTTGAAACATTACTTTGTTGAAAAGGCAATTACAAAGCAAGTTTCCTTTAGGCGTAGTGCTTTTGGCTTGAACAGTTTTTGTTGGAACACTGTAGACTTGCGGGGCCGGAGTTCTTCATGATTTCTTTCCTTCAGGCCTTGCCTTGGAAGCAGATTCGGCGATTTGATGAGTCCTATGCTAAGCTGTTGGAGGTGACTTTTGAATGTTTCGGAAAATGACGATTGCAGGGGGTCTAAGCACAACCCAGCCAGCAGGGAAATCCCTTTCAGAGGCATTGACGATGGCTGCCTCGGTTCCCATTTGAAATTGCTCGGAGCACACTCTCCACAAAGGGTCCTTCATTCTTGGAAAACTCAGCCAACCAAATACAGCCAAAACTCGGTTGGGGTTCCTCAGGGAGCTGCAAAACAGGCATCGGTTTTGGGCCTAGGGAGAATGCGTCGCTTGAGGCCAAAGGGACCACAGGTCTAGGGACTCCTTTCCAATGCGTTCAAGTTCAACATGCTAAGAACGTAGTGGTAGTATGTACTATGTCAGGAATATGAGTCAAATGGCACCATTTTGCCTCACGTGTCTGCTGATCCTTGGATTGGACAAACTTTCCCTTTTCACCCCCTTCTTGATCACCAGCCACACAAGACGGCTGAGTCGGCGGAAGTGCTTGAGGAGCAGGACTACGAGATGGCGGAGACGGAGGCAGACACCATTCGGCTGCAGGAGGCTGAGGCTAGACTGGCCCTGAAGATGCCGAGTGTGGATTTCAACTCGCAGCCCGAAGACCTGCAGGCCAAGATGTTGGAGCTCCCGGGATAAGGCGAAATGGGCCAGCAAAGTGGCCAAGACATGGGAGAAGCTCCTGGGCCCAGCCCAGCCCCCTCCAGGTGCCGCGAACCCAGCGCGGGCTGTGGGCTATCAGCAAGCTCCGCATGTTGGAGGAACCAGGATGGGGCCGAACCGTGCCAGTCCAGAAAAAACAGCGGAAGATTTGGCACTCGCACATCGCAAGAAGCAGAAGATGGTGAGTGGAGAACAATTTGGGAGGAGTCATTGACATTTTCGCATTTGCTGACATTTGGTGTTATTCTTGTTACTGCTAATATTGTTACTATCACCATTAATTATCATAGAGCCGGTGGTCGGAAGTTTCCAGAAACATATAACTATAGTCCTTTTTCTCTTTCTCCTTTTTCCACTCTCTCTCTCTCTCTGTTTCTCCGTCTCTCTTGTTTGTTTCTCTCCCTCTGTTTCTCTCCCACTCTCTCTCTCTCTCTCTGTTTTTTTTTCTCTCTCTCTCTCTCTCTCTGTCTCCCTCTCTTCTCTTTCTTCCTGCCTTTTCCCCTCTCTTGCTCTCTCTTTCTCTTTCTCTTTCTCCCTCCCTCTCACTCTGTCTCTCTCCTTTTCTCTTTGTCTCCCTTTCTTGTCTTTCGTTTTCTTTCTCTCTCTCTTCTCATTTCTTTTCCATTTTCTACCTTTTCCTGTGTCTTTCTCCCTTTTTCTCCTTTCTGTCTCTAGCGCCGGGCCCGTGGAATTGCCGAGGCTGTGCCGACCTCGGTGGCCGTTGCCGACTCCGACGCCACCATCTCCAGCCTGGCGCGGGGTGAAGGAATTTTGCCGGCCTTTGAGGGCCACTCAGTGGCCTTTGTCAGCCCTGGAGGAAACCACGGGAGAAGGGTGCGTTGGGGAAATGGGGCTGTTGAGATTGTGGCAGAATCTTCCGAGCACACTTGCCGCAGGCCTTCCAAGACCTAGACCTAGACAACCTGGACATTGGTGGGGACGTGACGCCGGGGCCTTACTTACTCCGCTTGGGGGGGAAGAGGTGGGTGGCAAGGTAACGCCTGGCAGGAGGTGTTGGCTGTTTGCTTGCTATCTTGCTCGCCTGTTTTTTGTTGGTTCCTGTGGTGGAGTCAGGGTGCATGTTGCATGTTTAAGAGCCGGTGATCTTTGTAGAGTTTCTTGAGCCATTGAGATCAACTGCGGAACACTTCGTGTTTTCCTTTGCTTCCTGTGCTCTACCTCTGCCCCAATCTGGGGTTACTAAGCCTAGGTTGTCCCCCTTGAGTTTATCCTAGCAACAGCATAGTCTGACCTGCAACCCAATATTCCATAGAACGTCACGGAGCGCAAATGTAACAAGATGAACGTAGCTCATACTTGAACTGGTAGAACAACAGGGCCTACCTCCATTCAAGGTTTGGTTTGTACGGTCGGAGCCCAACTTCTCAGGGACGGTTTAGAGAACACTAGTTCTTGAGTTTTGTTGTGTTTTTTTTGGGTTTGGGGTTGTGCGTTAGGCTTCTTAAACTTTTCCGTTTTGGTTTCAGTTTGTTCTGCGGATTTAGGCATTGGCAGTTGTGGCGTCTGCTGATTGGCTATGTGCAAGGCGCAGCTGCATAGCCCGTGAAATTGCCCATGAGCCACTCCACGTTTTAAACCAGGTTCCGTTGCTTTGCGAGGGAAGATGTGGCTTGCCCAAGGCGAGGGTTGAAACATGTTTTGGGGGGTTATTATTGGGCCTTGTGTTGTTGGCTCCGGGGCTTTTAGGATCTTAGTTGCGCGCCGCGTTCTTGCTGCGTTCTTCAGTGGCTTCGCGTTCTGCAAAACATGGAATACTCAAATAAACTGTTGGTAAGCAATATTTTGCGCTGGTCACCTGGTTAGACACGGACACCACCATTGTAATTAAATATCGTCGTAACTCACTGATTGACTTTCCTTTAGAAGGATCACGCTGTTCAACGGGTATTTGTTTCCGTGGCATTCTTTCGGTTTCCGTGTGTTGCTTGCGGAGACGCTGTTCTTGAAGAGTTCGTGAAGCCGTTTTTCGGAATTTGTCAGACACTTTCCCAGAAACAGCATGAAAGAGCCACAGTTGCGGGGAGAAAGCAGCAACTGGCGATTGGCCAGGTGGACGAGTCCGGCCGACACATCCCAAGTGGCAGAGTATGCCGCCCGGCGAGACCCCGCCGGATTTGACGAGATGGGGTTCAAACATGTGTTATTTTAACGATTTTCATGGGTTTCCTTTTTGGTGGGGTGTCTAAAAAAGAATCTGGGTTTCTGCCGCGCCTGGTTTTCGAGAGCGCCGGATGGACCTAAAGTTTGTTTCAACCTTTATGTGCGTGTTCTTCCCAAAAGGGTAGATCTTTTGTTGGACCCTTGCTTTCGCCACTTGATGCGAAAACGCAAAGGGCTTTGGTCTTTGCATGTTGATTCTTCTCATTCTCCAATGCCCTTTATGTATGGAGACCACATATGTGGACCATTAATATGTGCTGTGGTCAAAAGACCCTTACACTTGGGGCTTGCAGGGCTGGTCGACCCCCTGAGGATTGTAGACGGCTTTGATAAGGGTTTCTTTTGGAAGGAGCCATGACCATGGATGGCACATATAGTCCTCTTGCCAAAGCCCGGGCTCTTCGTGCTTTCGCTCGCTACTGAGGTGGTGTACCTCAGCACGAGCTCTGGAAGCAGGTCCCAGGCAGCGTTCTTTTCGGAGACACCCCGGTGGAAAAAATCGGGCCGTCTGGGCCTGGGTTCGTCTTTTGTGCTTGCGAACACCCCCCCCGCCCCAAAGAAAAACAGCTGGTTCAAAAGGGCACAATTACACTCTCCATTGGTACAGAGGGGCTTCGCCTGTTTGGAGACTTACCCATGTACCCATGTTTCCCGTGTCTTTTGAGTCAGGTTGATTTGGCATGATTTCTTTTGTATGAGCAATTTAGAATGAGTACTATGATATGAATTCTTTGGAATTAATGCATGTTACGTCGGCTTGACTAGAGTGCAACATGTAGAAGTATGTTTGTAGCGATCTATCCAGAGGCCCACAAGCTCTCCCTTTGTGAGCGGTCTTTGGGTTTGGAAGGGCAGTTTGTCAAAAACGAGTTGCTAACCGAATTGTGAGGCTACCCCCCGGACGAAACGTGATTGGTTTTGCGGACCGATACGCCGCGCAGGCGAAGATCAAGTTGTCGGCATGACGGTTTCGTCAAGCAAGTAAGTGTACTGCAAGTACGGGGATGTGTGTTTGCTTTGCAGTGACGAGAAACATTTTTCTTGCAGGGTGGGCCCTCTGGGTTTTAGATATCACCTGTGGGTTGCCTGCCAACTTTAAGTGCGAGGTGAAGTCCGGGAAGCATGATATTTCTGGCAGTCAGTGCTTTTTTCTCCCCCTTTGCTTTGGACGCCGACAATTGAATTTCAGGTTTGGTCAAATATCCAGTAGTCTTTGTGATCCTTTGGAGAGAGGCATGGGCCAACTCACTCAGATGGGTCCAACGGTTCACTTTCCTGGAGGCTCCAACCCTGCCAGCCTTTGCTTTAGCTCGGCCCGGGCAACCAGCGTCTGTTGTGGTGTTTTGTGGGTCGGCCTGGGAAAGCCGCCGGGATTGTTTGATTTTCCGGGCAAGCGCAGTGCCCCTGTCGTTTGGACGGGAACTTGCACTTTTTTGCCCTGTTAATCCACCAGGTTGCCTGTCCTGTCGTGCCCGTGATTTTGATTCGGAGTTTTCAGAGCTATCCACATTTGTCATTTACCAAAGAGCCGATGTAGTCTTGTCCGTTGCTTCCTCGGGGCTCGGCGAAAATATCCAGTTTCGGCCTGCAGGGCTCGGAGCAAAAGCGGCAGGACCATCAGACTTTCTATGCAGGAAAGTGGTTTGATTGCTCAATGACCAAGGGTGTTTGTGAATGCACAACTTGTGCGGTGAATTGGGCCATGTGAAAGGCATTTGGCAGTGGCTTGTGATGTATCCTGCAAGGTATTAAGGCATGGCCATGGCTGATTTGGAATGTTCAACACCCATGAGGTCAAGCAAGCGCATTCTAATCACAGCATTTCAACCATTTGGCTGCGTTTGCTTCGGCTGTCAGGTGGGCACCGCGACTGTTTGGTGCTCAGATGGGTCGGATGGGGCTTGTGGTTGGGATGACTGGCATCTTAGGGCTTGTTTTGCCTTCTGAGGTTCCCTAAACACGGAAGCTACAAATTTGGGGCTGTTGAGAGGGTCACGGTTCGTCAACTTGCAAACTCAGGACCGGAAAGCGAAGCCTTTGACCTTAACAAACTCTGAAAACCGAAACGTAAAGCCTAAAAGCCCTAAACCTAAACTCTAAACCCCAAAATCGACGCCTTCCCCCGAAACCCCAAATAAAATTCAGCCCGATAACGATAAACCCTAAACTCAAACCCTTAGCCTGTATGGCCGCACAGCTGACCTGGGGCGAATCGCATCACAAATGTTGCTGGTTTGCGGCAAACTCTCACCCGCGATGAAGGTTCCTCACCCAGGAGAATCAAGGGACCAAAGGTGTTTTTGGTGCCATGCGTTTGTTTTGTGATTCTCACCGTTTTCCAGGGTCATGGGTATAGCCATGCTACAACCGGGCAGATTCCCATGCCACCAATCACTGGAGTTCCTCGCCCATGGAGAGTCCAGCAGAAAAACTTGACAAATGATTCACGGACGTGGCTACTTTCCCACGCCTTAGCTGAGTCTTCCCGGAGCAGTTGGCGACGACAAAACGACAAGTTGTGCCACTAAAAGGGGACCATTCTTTTCCACCCCAAGTCCCACTCCAGGCGTCAACAAAACCTACTCTGCCAACAAAGGAGGAACTTTCAAGGAATATGTGCGTGTTTCCAAAAATTGAACGGTTCTAGCACACAAACTGTTGGCTTTCTTGTGGCTTCTCTTTAGACATCCAAAAGGGGTAGGAAAGGGGAAGCTTTTTTCGCCAATGTTGCGGGAATCCCAACAAAATAATATTCCGAGATGCCACTAAACAATTGGGTCAAGACTACAAACGTTCGGAAGATCCAGGGAATGCCCTGGATTCAAACCCAGCTCTAAAGGTAGCCCAAGCTCTGAGGGCGACGCCACCAACTTCACCATCCCCACAGAGACCATGCGCTACCCCTACACACAGGCCAGGATGACCCCCCACAGGCGTCAGTCCGTGACAGAAGATTCGGGTCTTTCATCAGGGATCTGATAGGCCATCATGGCCATCCAAAGTTGGACAAATGTATGGAAAGATCCCAAGAGTTGTAGCATGCCAGAGTCCACCAAAACTCTCAAAGCAAAGGAGCTTGGTTGCTTTTTGGCTGGTAAGGACAATGGCGTGCTCCACGTGCTGATTACCACTCACATGGCTGGCGACCTTTTTCGAGCCCACGAAAACGGTGTCGACGGAAACAGAGACCACTCCAGCATCATACGAGGTTCGGTCAACGCTTTAATAGTCTGTGGGGAGGGACATTGGGGACCCTCTAATTTACTGTCCAGAGAAGGTATAGCAAGTGTTGACCCCAGGCAGATATGAGCAATTGATATTGCTTTTGGTAACTGCTTGTTGGTTTAGGGAGGACACGAGGGGTTCCATATTCCCACGCCCTCAAAAGGAACAGAACATGTTGTTGTCAATGGCTTACATTTGCTTCAGTGCTTATCCCGTGTTTTGGGGTGTTGGCCCAACTTGTCTTCCTCATCATCCCAGTTGTCCAGCAGGTTCCATCTTGCAGGTTCCATCCTTGTTTGCCTTGCCCTCAGCCAACCAAGGGCGATATGCCGGAGGATTTTTCAGCCAAAGGTGCCTCTCTAGTCAGGTTCTGAGCCCCGGACCCGAAACACTCGTTTTCCATCGGTAGCACGGTTTATTTACAGAGAATGTCTTTGTTCAGAGCTTACTTACTTGCAAAGGATGAGGTGCTTTTTTCTCCTGGGGCTGGTTTTTTCTTAGGTTTGGTTGCCTGGCTGGCTGGCTGCCTGGCTGCCTGGCTGGCTGGCTGGCTGGCTGGTTGGTTGGTTGGTTGGTTGGTTGGTTGGTTGGTTGGTTGGTTGGTTGGTTGGTTTGTTGGTCGCATCACCAGCCTCACTTCCTAGGGCTGCCTATTGGCTCTGATTCTGTGGCAGTTGGGAGTTGCTCCGGGCTGGTATAGGGGCGTTTGTAGGTTGGCTCAGATCTTACTGAGGGTGGGTCTTGGGTTGGTTTGGGGTTCATGTAGGCTCAGCAAAGGGCTGAAATCCAGGCTGCTGTTGGGTGGGGTTAACTTGACTTTTGGTGGGTTTGGGGTTGGCTTGGAGCTGATTTGTGTTAGGTGTGCTACAAACCCACTTACTACTGTCGATGACAAAATCCTGCAGTAGCAGTTGGGATTGACGAACCTCTACTGGACAAAGCCACCTACCAACTGATGTGAAGTGGACTTTGTACTTCCACATCTCATCTTGCGACATGTGCACACGCCTTGCACTGTCGGTTCACCCCACTGAACCGACACCTCTTGGAGGGTTGGTCCGGGAAAGCTTGGGCTTGATGAGGGGAAGCCACAACAAAATATAGGGGAAAGACATTGTTCCTCAAAAGAAGCCCACCCCCTGATAAAAAGGGTTGTTTTTCGACAGAAATAAGACCATACCTTATGCCCACCTTATATTTACCGTATTTCAGCCTTATTTTGGCCGGCGTATTCGACCTCATTTCAATCTTATTTTGACCCCAAGCTTGTTGCCTCATTTGTTGGAAGAAAATACGCCGGCCCCCCATCCCCCACACCCCTCCCCTCCCCCCTTCTTCGAACGATTTTAGTTGGCTTGGTCGCTGCTTTGAGGACACACCCGTTTCGGATCCAGGGATTGGTCTCGGATCCATCAAGAGCAAGAAATAACCGTCCAAAAATTATATCTCATTGTTTGGCCTGAATCGGCTCATTCCGAAGGCTAGACCCTCCCAGACGTTGAGGCCATCTTGTTTGGTCTTATTTGACACTACTTAGATGGGTTGGGGGTCGGTTTTGGTGGGATTCACGGGGGGCTTACTTTGGGTTACCAACTCCGGGGCTATCTAAGTAAGGCTCGTTCAACTTTTGCACCGTTTGACCCCTTTGACCCCTTTCTAGAGCGGCAAGCAAACGGCAGGGTCCAATTTTGAATCGAGAACTTTTTATTTGGTGTCAGCCGTCAGCAAAACACAACGACAAAAGAAGTTGGCCAGGCAAATTAGACCCCCAACTGTCCACCATACCTTTGGGGGGATAATTTTGACAGGATGGGTGATGTGTGTTTTCTGTTTTGGTTTTATGCCTGTCTCATTCCCCCCAAAAAATCTAAAAACAGTAATTTTGAGAACTCCTTACAAAGATCGTTTAAAGGGGCCGCGTCCTTCCATTGGTTCTAAAGGGGCAAATACCTGGAAAATTTGTGAAGCCCTTCACTTTAGGAGTGACATCCTGCCAAAGCAACGCTAAAAGTGAAGCGCCCCCAGTTTTGAACTACTTTGAGGGGACCTGTTGATTTCTGCATTCTTTTGTTTGCTTTTTGCGTTGGAAAGGAGTCCGGGCATCTGACAAAACGCCAGATCCGTGTCTACAGCAAGTCCTTCTCTGGGTTCGAGCAGACCACCCCGGCGTTTGTGACCTTGCAGGACGGAGCCAGGAGTAACCAACCCCACCTCACTCGCATTTGTGTGCTTATATGCAATTTTAATATGGAGCCACTTCATAGGTGGTTGGGGGACATTCATCCCCACCTAAACGATATCCACCAAAAGGTTCGCATTAGAATTAACACCCAAACGAAGGAGGCACATTTCGTTTCAAAGCAAGCAGACACAAACCATATTTCTTAGATGGCCTAAGGTTTCTCGTGAAATAAGTCCAAATGCAAGAATTGAGATACGGGGTTGTCCCCAAATGGGCAAACTCCAAAAATATGCATTGGTTCCCTTTTTGTTTGTTCCTGAACAACCCACAAACATGTTACCTGAACATTCTCTTGACTACTTCTGTGATGCCAACGAACAGGTAACCCTCAGCGAAGAATGACTTTGGGAAGGCCGGTTTTCTGCTACCTCAATCAAGGCAGGCCTCAGTGACAGGGTATTCCTACACCATGGAGTGGCCTGTATTGTTGCCGGGATTTCATGACCAGTTGAAACCTACACTAACATCAGCCCCCTTGGGTGCTCCTTGTAGCGAATCTACCTCCATTCAGATGCTTTCCCCACTGTGAGAATGATCCTTTAAGTGAAGAATTCGTCGCCTTCCCTTTCCACTTCTTAGTGTATGAGTTCACCCAACTAGAACAGAGGGTATTTACTCAAAGGAAAACTACTAAAGGTAAACAAGGCCGCCTGCTTCAAATACCGGCGCTTTTCTACGGTATATACCAACGTATGTACACATAAATCAGTTTAGCACATATTCACACATACGCGCATGCATTAGATTTGCTTAGAGCAGACTGGCATTACGTTGCCTGGCTGCACATCACATCACATCACATTACATCACCTCACCTCACATCACATCACATTACATTACATTACATTGCAGTACATCACGTTGCGCTACATTACGTTCCATTGCTGTACGGCACGGCAAAGCACAGCTCAGCCCAAGAAAGGTGGTCGGCCGGTCGGGCCATGGGAAACTTCCATTTTCATATAGCCGTAGCATTCGGGGCTGACTGAACTCCCAGAGCATCTAGGGGGCTGGTGACTTTGCCTTTCAGGGCAACTTCACAACCCAAACAGGTACCCCTGTATAGGAGTATAGGTTCCCCCCCCCCCCTTTGGAGCTCGACAAGCGCAACCCCGCGGGATAAGGTGGCAATCTTCCGTCAAGCACAGGACAGCGTGGCCATCATCACCTCCATCTCGATGGGGGCCCAGGGCTGGGTGGCTGCGCCTTTGGGTGGCATACTCTCCTTTTTGATCGTTACCACTTTTGCGGGGGCGCGGGACGGCAAAAAGACGTCGTTTTCCGTTCCTTTCAGCCATCCGTAAATGCGTTCTGGTGGCCTTTGGTTTTGCCCATGTTCAGAACGGGCTCAACAAAAACTAATTCGCCAACCGACGATTTGAGCTACTCTGCGTAGTTTCAATCGCAACTTGCTGAAAGTTGTTAATGGTGGAGAGACTATGTTTACCATTGTCAGTCAGGGTTCCTAGTATTGGTTGGGGGTTGTCCTTTCTTGGTCTCATGGGCCTAACGGGCAAGCCTTTGTTTCGGGGGATCAGGGGTTTCATGTCCTATCTGGAAGCAGCCATGTCCATATCTACACTAGATGCTATTGTTCACCAACCAGTGGAATCGCATGTTTCACCCTAATCGGTGAGGTTTCAAAAAGGTTCCGCCTTTGACTAAGGGGATTTGTAGCTGTCCATGTCCGGCTCTTGGTTCTGAGCCCATTCTTGACTGTTAGGAATTATCAAACAGATTTGTTTCCCTCAAACCTTTGTTGCTGACTTTGAACCTGGCAATGGGGCCAGCGGCTAATGGCCAGTGGTTACACGTAATGAGGGCGGATGGAGGTACTCAGAGCTCCTACAGCCGCCTACCGCTGGAGTAGGTATCCATTATATGCGATCTGTACTCAGTACTTGTTTGTATGAACAGTATATATATATATATGCACGTACACACACACACATCTATGCACATACATTCATATGTATGTATATGCAAACACACACACATGTACAAGCATACGTACGAATATATATATATATATATATATACAGCACATATATATATATACATATATACACAGCATATGATAGGGTAACCTACAACAGTGTCAGGGGCACTACGTTGTACGTTGCAAGAAGCCCTTAGATAAATGATTTTGTCCTGATGCCGAAATTTAGTTTGACGAGTGCCCTGCGATTGATTGTACTACGTGGCGAGTTTTACTACGCATCACATCGAGCACTATCATCCTTCAGTTATATTCTAGCTTGGGATTCGCGCAAGGTCTGTCCGTACTTTCCTGATATTTCAGGCATTCAATTTCTGGTTTGCTTGCGTTCTACATTCGGAATCCACACTGAGACCTTGGGTGAGTTCAGTCAGATCCCACACCTGGCTTGCATTTGGCTCGTCTTTCAGTGGCTGTCCAAAAGCTTACACTTGCAAACCCACGGCTCCGCCCCTGGAGCATTCAAAGACCACTGTGCAGGGGGGAGGTTGTGGAGCCGCACTTGTGGCGCATCCATCTCTTTTGAACTTATCTTACATCGGGTTCTCTGGATACTTCTGGCCCATCGCTCTCATGTGTTGGTGGGGCGGAAGCTCCAGAGCCGGTTGAACTCGCGAAAGGTTCACCGACAAGGACCTGGACCTCTTCGAGCTGGGGGGCTACATTTCCTGGACCCGTCGAAGGGCAGGAATCGACAATATCGATTCGCCCATTCGCCCATAGCAGATCTGGAATGGTTTCTTTTCCCCCCCCAATGTTGGGTCCCATTGGTGTCATGGTTCCGAAATGTCAGCCGAGAAATGATTGAACCGTTTTTTGCTTATATTTTTAGCTTCCCACGTGGTAAACCTTTGGGACTGCCTTTGCCCACCAGGACGGTGTCGGGGACTACGTCGCTTGTCACCTCGTACCAGGCGAGCTTGCCTTGTGACCCGAACGGTTGGAGGAGCCCCTTTTTGGGCTTGTGGGAGGAGACAGTTGTATTCAGCAACTAGCGGAGTGTTCTGAGAAAGCCTGACGCGAATTGGAAAGCAGGCTCCCTGATCAAAGTCAACTGGCGCCACTCATTAAGAGTACCACTCGGTGACGCCTCAAAGATTCCAAGACCCATCAGAGACCGGACCGCTTAGGTGTTTCCATCAGGCACCCTTCAGAGGAAAGTCCTCTTTCCATTTTGGGTCCCGGAGCTTGCGGGAGGATAGGTGTTCTTGGTTCCGCAGCCCGCTGAACGGAGCATGGAGTGAATTGAATCAAGGGGGCAGAGGGGCGAGAATCGGTGAGCCAACGAACACACCAACGAGGAATGGTAAGGCAGCGCTTATGTTCGCTTGTGGCGAACAACCGGCCCATACCTTAGCTTAGTGATCCCCAATTAAGTTGATGAGTTTTGTTTTGACGGGTGTAGACGATGTTTTTCTTGGTGGTCATATAATAGAGTCATATTTCAGTTTCCAAGCTGGTAAACTCTTCTTGAATCCATATTCATCATCTAGATGTTGCTCGAATAGATTTGAACCCCTCCAAAGGCATCTTTACGAACCCCGTAATTCACCATCACCGATCGCCATCAACCCCATGACACCCAGCTCTGGCCATTGGACCGCAAGGATCTCAATTGCTGACCTAAAGGCGATCGTCAAACTTCATAAATGCCCAAAACACCGGTCTTTCAATGTTTTGCAGGGGAAGGGAAGCATGGAGTGAGCGATGACCTCGGCAGATCTACATCGACATGGTCAGCTTCGGGACCTACCGGACCCATGCCGCCTGAGAGAATCAAGGGAGAGAGAGAGAGAGAGAGAGTCAGGGGTGCAGGGGTTCCCTGTATATATATATATATCTAGCACATATGTATCTGTATGTGTATGTATGTATATATATATATATATGACATGAAAGCCTTGGTTTGATTCGGAGACCCCCCCCCCGGCTAATCAGGGGTGTTTCCCCTGTTAAGAATTCATTCATTTTAACTAGCGGGATTCCTTTGATTGGTATGGTGCTCCGAATTGATTCCAAGCCAGTTTGCTCTGAGTTTGCGGCGATGAATGAGGAACTACAAGCAGCCAAGCCTTGGCTGTGCTAGGGGTTCGTTCCCACCTTTGTGATACCAGGGACGGCTCAAAGGAGAAGCACACATCGTCCAATTTTAGGGGTTTATTTTTCGTTTATTATAGGGATCCGAATCTACAATAGGTTTTGAAAAGAACGAATGAACAGCATGGGGAATGACCTAATAAACCCCTGTTGACCCATGACCTATTCTAGAACATACTCAGATAATTTTCGGGGTCAATTGCCGGTAGTCTATGGTCCTCTTGGGAGGGACATAGGGGAACTCAGTAAGTTCCCCACCAAAACCAGGGGACTCACAAGAACTTGATCCGGCTCAGACCGCCGACGTTGCAGGCCTGCTTTATTTATTTTATGTGTAGCTGGGGATGCCTGAAGGTTTCTGTTTGCAATTTCCTCGGTCATTTGGGAAAGGCACCTACAAGACGCACGTGGGGGCCTTTCGATTGACCCTCTTTCCCAGGATTTTCCCCTGCAAGCGCGGGCCTGTCCTTTGACCCTGATTGCTCCTGTTGCCCAGGAAGTTTCCCTAGCTGGTTTGTGTGATAGATTAGTTTTTTCTTGTTTATTGGGTTGTTGGTTTGTTTGTTTGTTTGTTTGTTTGTTTGTTTGTTTGTTTGTTTGCTTGCTTGGCTTGTTTGTTGCCGACACTGCCACCACGCGCCTGGTTGTTTCGTGCATTTTGTGTGTGTGTGTGTGTCCGTAGCCATTTGGCTCAAGCGCTTCAGCATAGCTCGCCCCTGATCTTTGCTCTGTTGTTTGGTACAGTCCAACCTCAGCGATGGCCGGCTACCACTACTACCATCACTACGAACAAAATGCGAAGCCCTGGATCGAGCATCGCGTTGCCTATGACGGGAGGAGGTGAAGATCTACCGCAAGGGACGCTGGATCCTGGCCGAGCCCGCCGACATGGAGTACCACCCGTGGCGTGCATGGAGGGAATGGGAGACAACGAGCCTTCTGAGTGAAAACATTGTCCGATTTGCTTGTTGCTTGTGCTTGCGTTTGTGTTGTGTTGTCTACATGTACCTACTCTCGCAGACTCCTTTCTGTCTCATAGCGGCTGATTCGGTTGTTATGTTCAATTCGACGACCACCGAGAGATGGCCCTTCCCGCGCTACTTTGAGTACAACATCGTGCGTGGCCCTGGAAACACAAGAGTTGAATGGATTCGAGTTTACATACCAGGCCAGTGGCAGCCTGTCGCAGAATCCACCCTGGGACCGGCTCCGGATGTCTCGTCTACTTATCGTGAGTGGCGCAGAATCTACCACTGTGAAGTGTACTGGCCTCGTCTCGTGACAGCACGGGAGGCAACATTGCGGACTCCCTCGCCCAGCCGGTCTCCTATGCATCCTTTTATACATGGCAATATCGTGACTGGCACCCCAGAAAATACCAACGACTCGGCAATCCAAACCCGAGCAGTTCTGCTTTCCCGTTGGGATCGCCTGGTCTCATGTACGCTGGATTGTCATCCTCGTCAACATCCTCGGTCTCAGATGGTGGTTGGCGTCCTCCTTCACCTCCATATGATCCTAACTTTGACTGGGGCGAGTGACATCGACACCTGAGTTGACTCTAGCTATAAAACTCTGCGCTCGGTGTTGCAAGTGCCTTGAGTGCAGGTTTGAGTGTCTTGCGTTTCACTGGCATGCTCAGTGTCACATGGCATGAAGTGTTTCTTGCCTGCAGCCGTGTGCGTCACTGTTAACTCATCATGCCGTGGCTAGAATGGTGCCCTGACCCTCAACGACCGGACGCCCAATGGAAGAAGAACACGGTGACCCTCCTCCACGTCATACGTACAGGGAATGGAAGTTGTTCTATAACCAGGTTCCTTCTCATGACGGCGTTCAATCCACTTCATACATGGTACAAGCGGGACTGGACCACTGAAGGATACAGACGTGTCGCGGCTCCAGAACCAGACAGCCACTTCGCTTCGATTTTTTCCCCTGATCAGCACAGCGCGGCCACACAGTCGTCGACCCTGTGCATGTCCCCACTGGTGTTGGAGGCGATCCTACGATCCTCGGATGCATCGACCTTCTCTACCGATGATTTGACTCGTCTACAGGCAGGGATTAGCCCACAACTTGCGGACCGAACGCGACAAGCATTACGGCCTCATCAGCCAGTACGTACTTCTCGTGACGCTGATCCTCTTCAGCCTGAATCTGCTGGAGTCGCTGATCCTTATCTGCCCGCAAGCCGGTTGAGCAGTTCCGACGGCAATCAGAAGTCCATTTTTGAACTAGTTGCTGAGTAGACAGACGAGTATGGGCCATTCGGCAAAATGGTGCTTTCTAGATGTCTTGCATGCTTGTGTGTTGTCTGTTGTGCATGGTTGCTGGTTCTTTTGCGCTGCTAGCTGGATTGGATACCGCGGTGCACCCTATCTTCCATCTCAACATGGACATTGATGCTGCGTCGCAAGCGCGGGCCCTGGACGGCATTCAACAACCATGGCTAGAGTATTCAGTCGAACAAGAGTGGGTGAGGGTCTACACTCCTGGGCAACCTCAACTATGGCACCCGGATGATGACGTACCTGTCCTACCAGAGAACATTTTTCGAGTTTGGAAACCGGTGGTCTCGCCAAGTGAGGAAACTCAGGACAATGAAGCTTGGCAAGGTCACTATGCGCATGATCACCGCCAAATCTGGACCGTACAGGATTGGCAGCATCAAGGATACCAACGGATATTGACCCGCTATGAGTCTTTCTCCACCCACAATCACAATGCCTCTGATCAACAGCGTGAGGGCGTGCGCAACCCGGACTTTTCCATCCAGGTGGAAGAACTGGGCTCTTCTCAGCATGGTCTTCGTCAGCAAGATCGCAATGTGGTGAGTATGTTTACCTACGCCCCGCCCATGACGGACACCACACATCCATCCTCCCTGCTCCTTCCGCCAGTCTTGCCATCAATAGCAGGACACAGAGGCGGCCTACTTCCTGCTCAACTCAAAGATCCTGCGTCCCCGTCTTCTGAGCGGCACCGTACAGAGCGTGCAATTTCTCGTTCTCCTCGCCGCTGTGGATATTTTGGTAGACACTAGGGAGTTGAGCGCGTGGTCTTCCGGATCCAAAAGGTAGTGTACGCCCCTCGTGGAGGGGCGTGTGTGTGTGCGGAGTGGCAGAATACCCTGTCACCAACCTATATTCGTTAGCAGGGGGCGTGGCGGTCTCCTCGTAGCCACGCCAACGAAGCTATCGAGGATGACTGGATGCATCAAGGGACGCCTTGATGTGTACCTGCAACAGTTTTGCAAATGTCTATGTGGCCCCCTTGGTTGCGGCGCTGTTTGTGCTTCTTGTTCTTTCGGGTAACGTGTTCGCTGCTAGACGGAAACCAAGTGAATGCAAGCCGAACCTACACCCACTCGAGACTCATCAGTTGTACTCGAGACTCATCAGTTGTACTCGTTGAAGTGTGTGTGTGTGTGTGTGTGTGTGTGTGTGTGTGTGTGTGTGTGTGTTTGGCATTTTTTGGTGTTTGATGTTTTCACACATGAACATAAGCACGCTCATGATAATAAACATGCTCACGCGCTTCCACAGCTCGCATGCTGGCACAAGTGATAGTAAACACGTTCGCGCTTCCACAACCGCTGCGCGCATGCTGGCGCAGGCAAGACTAGGCACGCCTACGCGCATCCACAACCGCTCGCTGAACGCATGCTGGCACAAGTGATAAGAAACACACTCACGCGCGTCCAGAACCGCTGCACGCATACTGGCAGAGGTAATGATAGACACGCTCACGCACATCAACAACCACTGCACGAATGCTGGCACAGGAACGAACAAACATGCTCACGCGCATCCACAACCGCTGCACGCATGCCGGCACGAGTGATCACGAGCACGCTCACGCGCATCCACAACTACTGCACGCATGCTGCCGAAAGTGATGTTAGAAGCGCTTACGCGCATCCACAACCTCTGCACGCGTGCTGGCGCAGGTAGCGCATGTTTAGCAGGATGCGCTTGCAACCCACACTTGAAGCTGCCTCTTGTGACCAGTTAACCTTCCGCTGTTTGATGTTGACTCTTTAGGCTGCCGCGACACAAACCTACCTGAAACGATTAATTAGTTCGTTGACATTCTGTTTGATCATCGTTCCATTTGCTGAAATCGTGGGCAGCACAGTGAATTGAGAAGGCGCGCAGCCTGAATCGTGGCAGGCGCCTCATGTCGGTGTGACCTGCTTGTGTATTTCTTTGGTTGTTTGGTTGGTTGGTTGTTTGTTGCTGACGCCCCTCCTGTTGCCTGGCTGCTTTGTTCATTTTGGAGTTGTCTGGTATTTTGGGCGTGTTCGGTGTCTTTACACATGAACATAAACACGGTCAACACGCTCACGCGCATCCACAACCGCCGTACCCATGCTGGCACGCATGATAATAAGCACTCAATGTTGATCCACAACTGCTGCTGCCAGCATGGGCGCAGCGGTTGTGGATGAGCGTGAACTTGCTTATTGTTATCAGTGCCAGCATGGGTGCAGGGGTTGAGCGCGTTTGTTGCCGTTTGTGTGTGAGCATGGCTGCTGCGCCGGTGTGGATGCGCGTGAGCGTGTTCATCATCCATTCCGCCGGTGTGGGTGCAGCTGTCCTGGATGCGCGCGGCGCTCACGTGCCTGCTGCACCCATGCAACTGATAGCAAACATGCTCACCCGCTGCACTCATGCCTGTGCAATTGAAAATGAACACGCGCGCATCCAGAACAACCGCGGCACCCGTGCTGGCACAAATGAGAATAAATAAACATGCTTACGCACATCCACACCGCTGCAGCAGCCATGCTGCGAAGAGTGATAGTACACACGCTCACGCGCGTCCACAACCGCTGCGCCCATGCTGGCACAAATGATAATAAACTCGATCCTGCGCATTCGCGACCGCAGCTTCGGGACAAACTCGGCTGAGACGTGTTTTGATTGCATTTGCTGAATTCGATGGCCAGAAAAATGAGTTGAGAAGGCGCGCCGCTTGAGTTGCGCCAGGCGCCTCACGGCTGTGCAATGTGTTTGCTTGGTTGTTTGACTGTGTGCCCTTTAGCTCCTTGAAGCGCTGAAGCGCCTTGAAGCCCCCAATGCACAAATAGGGACCTTTCATTCGACCCTGTCTGCTCCTCCGGTTTTCCACGATTGGCAATTGTGATCATGCTGGTGATGTTGCGCTGGTGCTGGCTGCTACGGATGCAAAGGCGATGCTGGAGATGTTGAGTGGCGCGGGGGGGAATCGAACCCTCCCGCGTTTTAACGCCGCGTGGGCCACCCACCCAGGGAGGTAAGTCTTAACTTGGATCTTATTTCGTGTACCCGAGTTTTGGGGGTGTACTCCTGCAGGTTGAAGTGTATGACTGCTTCACAATTGCCGTAGCCCGAAAAATGACTCAGTTTTCTTTTGAAGGTATGGGACCCATACAAACAAGGTTCCGCAATGGGAGCAGCCTCGGCCAAACACCTCGTTCTCTTCAACTGAAGGGACCTTCTCAAACAAAAATGGCTCCTCGTCCTTCGTAGTTTCCGCGCAGTAGTGTTTGTGCTGTTCTGGTTTTCAATTTTCTGTTCCTTCTTTTTCTCCCGAGATCTCGGAGGCCAAAACGGGGACTTGGATTGTTTGGCGGTGTTCCCGCACTTTGCAAAGGAAGGCGCCAAAGGTTGAGGTCCCTTGACGAAATCCGCAGACGGAACAAGGGTAGTTGTGCAACCACATGTTGCAACAGACCCTAATGGGAACGCCAGGCTTTCCACCAAAAACGGCCAGTTGCAGTGTGGTGAAAGTAGATAGCCAAAAGACATCGTGTGGGTTTGATCATCCCCTTTACATTCAAACTGCCGTGATTTTTCGCCCTGGTGCATTTGCCGCGGTGCGCTACGTCGAACTTCACCGAGTTGGGCAGCGTGCCCTCGGGCACCAACGCGTTCCTGCTGGCGCCCGAGTACAACCCCGGGCCGCCGCTCGGAAAGAGGTCGCTGCATAAGACCCCTCTTATTTGCCATTCGCATTTGTGCCATTAATATTTACCCCCACCACCTATACCCAACTTTCGGCTGATGCAAGATGGTGTTCCGATTCCACCCATCAAGATCAAAAGAGAAAGCAATTCCTGTCTGAGTCAACCACTAGTCAAGGTTTGGATCATTTATTCTCACGGGTTCAAATGATCGGTTACAAGGCCTTAAATCGGATCCAAGATCTAAGATGTCCCATTGAGGTCGCCTGCGGTGCGTGAATTGAGTGATGCTGATGATGCTGGGGTGCTGCCGAGCCCCGTTTTCGGCAGTTTTTGTTGAAAACTCGTGCTGCGCCAGTGGTTCTGTTGCCCCGTTTAAACTCGTGCGCAAATGACCCTTTGCTGCGGCGCCGAGTTCCTACCTAATCCAGGTCGGCTGCGCGATGCTGAGGGTGTTGCTGGTGATGGGGTCCCCAAAGATCTTTCCCCCTTTTCCCTTGTAAGGCCTTTTTTCCCCAGATCTTCTCCCTTTCCTCCCTAGATTTTTCCACCCCTTTCCCAAATCAGATCCTTTCCCCCCTTTCCCCCCTAAGGCCTTTCCCCCCGCTGAGATCTTCCCCCTTTTCCTCCCTAAGATCCTTTCCCCCCTTCCCCCTAAGTAAGGCCTTTCCAGATCTTCTCCCTTTTCCTCCCTAAGATCTTTTCCCCCCCTTTCCCTGTTGGCCTTTTTTCCCCCACATCTTCTCCCTTTCCTCCCTAAGATCTTTTCCACCCCTTTCCCTGTTGAGATCGTTTCTCCCCTTTTCCCCCCTAAAACCTTTTCCCCCAGATCTTCTCCCTTTCCTCCCTAAGATCTTTCCCCCCCCTTCCCTGTTGAGATCCTTTCCCCCCTTTCGCCCCTAAGGCCCTTTCCCCCCCGGAGATCTTCTCCCTTTTCCTCCTAGTAGGATCTTTTCTCCCTTTCCCTGTTGAGATCCTTTCCCCCCCTTTCCCCCCTAAGGCCTTTTTAGATCTTCTCCCTTTTCCTCCCAAAAATCTTTTGCACCCTTTCTCTGTTGAGATCCTTTCCCCCTTTCCCCCCTAAGGCCTTCCCCCCCCTGAGATCTTAAGTGAGGCCTTTTCCCCCCCTGAGATCTTCTCCCTTTCCTCCCTAGATCTTTCCCCCCCTTTCCCTGTTCAGATCCTTTCCCCCCTTTCCCCCCTAAGGCCTTTCCCCCCCTGAGATCTTCTTTCCCCCTTTCCCGGTTGAGATCCTTTTTCCCCAAGATCTTTCCCTTTCCCCCCTGTGTTTGGTTTGTTAGTTACACCATTGATCTCCTTGCAACCATTTGGCTCAAGGCCCTCTTGTATATAGCATATTGCATTCATGCGATAGCAGTACAAAGGCTTGCAGAGACCGCTAGCAGGAATATCAGTCAAGTCAAGCCACCAGGGACAATCCATCCTCCAATCATCCATATTGGCATATTGGACTCTCCGTTCCCTTCTGGGATAGGCACCTGAGGCAGTGGGCCTCAATTTGTGGTGGCGGAGCGGGTTTTCCGCAGAGATCCAAGGGAGGATGTCATCCGATGGAGAAGGCTTCATGGAAGCCTATTCAAGTATGGCCAAACCACAAGGCTATACGGAGGAAACACTCAATTTATCGATGACCGCCAAGCAGCCGCCATCGTACGACGGAAAAGTCAGCTGGTTCAGGTGTGAAGAACTCGTGGACGACTGGGTGACAATCACTACGGTGGAAGCACCCAAGAAAGGACCACTACTCAAAAGCAGACTCACCGGAGATGCATATATGTATAAGGCAGTCCTCCAAAATGACCTTTTGCAAGATCCTGATGAAGGAGTCAACTACTTCAAGAACACGCTGAAGAAGTACTTTTTGAAAGGTGCGACCAACGTGTATCTGTACAGGCTCCTCAGTTTCTTCAATCATAGAAGGCAGAACCAAGAGTTCCTCATTTTTACCTCAAAATTCGAAATCCTTCTCATGAGATTGAAGGCAGCATGGATGGACTTGATGCCAGTTTTCACGGCACAGGCCCCATCATTTCGACAGTCCGTACAGGACGCAAATGCAAGAACAATTGCTCGACATCAGCACCGCCTTCAGTCCTGCTCAACGAGGAAGATCCAACAGTCCTCAGACAGTATATCACGGGAATGCAGGACAGACAGCGGGACGCATTTCCCTTCGGGGATAATCTCATTGCACAGTTTTTGATCATTCAGAGTGAATTGTCAGATCAACAAAGAGAGAGACTGACAAGTGCAATGTCATTGAGAAACATCTCACTAGAGAACTACCCCGATGAGATGCTGAACTACCATGAACTCTTCATCACGACCAGGACATCCATTCAAGATCCATCCATCCGACCTCAAGGAGGCAACCAAAGCAACACATTCTTCATCATCGAACAAGGTGAATATGAAGGAGAAGAAGGCTTTTGGGTTGAGGATGAAGAAAGACTTGAAGGATTCATGTCAAACAACGATGAGGAGACATTCTGGGTCCTCGAGGAGAACGATGCGTTCATCGCAAGAAAAGTGTCAGGGCGGAATTTCAGATTCAAGAAGAGAAAAGGAGAAGGAAAATCAGGAAACAAAAAGGGCAGTCACCAACGAGGTGGCTTTAAACCCTTCAGAAAAAGCGGTTCTGGCGGGAAGGCCAATATGGCCAATGAGAACTATGATTACTACGACCAGGCGTATTGGGGAAAAGGCAGCGGAAAGAAGGGAAAGAAAGGAAAATCAAAATTCCAACATCCCTATGATGGAAACAAAGGTTATCCATCTTATGAGAATGGCAAAGGAAAGGGCGGACATGACAAAGGAAAATCCAAGACGTTCGCAGCCACCGCAGAAAAGACGGAGGAGCAGCCCGCCATCCAGCAGACTGCACCATCCGTAGAGCCTACCTATGCCGGTTGGACGGAACGAACAAGGCTGGTACTCATCCCATGAGACATCCAGTACAGGACAAGCGCTAATGGCATTCCATGACGCATATGAGCATCATGGGAAAGAGGCCATATACGGGAAGCTGATCCAATCAGATGCAGTTTCAGAACACAATTTGTCCGTCGCAACAAATCACAGCCTTTTGGCAACACGGCTGATGGCGCCTGTCATCAACCCTCAGCACAATCCAACCTATGCGATCCTGGACAACGGATGTACCAGATCCATGGGCAGCTGGCATGCAATCCAGCGTTTTACTCAGGCCATCGAACCAATGAAGGACATCATCTCCTATCAGTACATCCCAGCCGAGACCAAGTTCACTTTTGCAAATGGAGAAACAGCCAGGGTAAATTGGACCCTGCATCTTCGATATCACAAAACTCCTCCATGCAGTACCAACATCAACACCCTTGAACAAGGAACTGTACCGATCCTCCTCAGCATCAGTCAGATGCGGAACCTCTACATGACCATAGAGCACACACACCTCAATGTGACAAAATCACATGCAAGGCTTTTGACATGAACCGGCAAGCAGTTCCGGTATCCGGTACAGGACATGCACTCGTCGATCTCGCTGGAGTTGCAAGAGTGAAGGCGCATGGAGAAATTGCTCATAAGGGCCTCACCAACTACGTCTATGATGATGATAACAGCATCAAGTTTCCCTCCGGGGATATCTCCAAGAGTGAAGCTGTTTGTGCAGCAAAATCATCCGAGACGAAGGAGGACCTAGCAACTCCTAAAATCATTGGGTCTCAGAAGCAGGACCTTTGGACCCTTGACAAGAAGAACAAGCAGCTCATCCGTGTGCACATCACGCCTCGAAAGGCACGGTTCACACCAAATGGAGCCAAGCAATGTCCAATCAATCCTGATAACATCAGCCGAGAGCGTACTGCGAAAATCGTTGATGAGAAGACAATTGGAGACTTACATCCCAGGCAAACAAACCTATGATTAACCTGTGGATAGGTAAGACCATTTTCACCTTCGCGGACAATTCGCTTAAGGATGCCTCATCCGGCAGAGAACATGTTCGTCGAGGACCTCACATCCATTCCTGAACAAGCACACTGGAATTGTGTACGTAAAGGAAAGATCCACGTTCTCGAGATCTTTGCAGGAAGTGCCAGATTCAGTCAATGCTGTGCACTCTCAGGTCTTAAGGTTGGGACTCTCGTAGACATCCGCACATCCAAGGGACGACGCATGGTCATGGAGATCATCAGAGAGCAAGCACCTGATGTAATCCTCATGGCACCACTCTGTGGACCGTGGTCAAACATGCAGAACATCCAACAAGACCAACAAAGAGTCTGGGAGAAGCGGAAAACTCTATCTTCCCATGGTTGAATTTGTGGCATCCATTGCGAGATATCAGCTGAAGCACGGAAGATATTTCATCATTGACAATTTTCAGACATGTAAGATATGGTATCTGAATTGTATGCAGCAACTGTTCTCAGATCCATCCGTGACCTGGGGAGATTTCCATTTCTGTGCATACGGACTGAAAGATCCTGAATCCGGGCTCAGAAGTCTCAAGCCCACGAGCTTGATGCACTGCTTACCTCCAGAGGTACTGAGACCAATCTTCAGAAGGTGTAAAAATTCTACCAGCTCAGTCAAGCATGAACACCACCCCCTCGAGGGAAATGCTGGTACTTTCGGAAGCAGAACCAAGCTGGCACAGGTTTATCCTTACCAGTTCTGTCAGGATCTCGCCCACATCCTCCTCAGACACTTGAAGGTGAAACCGCTTGACAATAAGGTGTGCCTCTTGGAGGACCTTTTCGAACCATTCACCATCAAGCAGGTTGACATTCTGAGGAAGGAGATGGAAGCCATCGACAAGGAGTTCAACATGACCAGCAGTAGTCTTACGGTCAGAATTCAAGACCTCCCGTTCAACAAGGATGTTCAACCATTGGTCATCCAAGATCCGCTAGTCCAGAAGTTTCAAAAGATGATGAAGCAGTACCCACCGGGCACTGAAATCGATATCTTCAAACAAGATCCGAATGACTGGC